TCCAGTATCAGGACTTCGGACTTTCTCATTAGTTGCGAGACGATTTGGCGGTCATGTTTGCAATATTTCTGCACATACATCTGCGAAGTAACTGTAACGACGTTACTCTTTACAGTTACTTTCGAAAAATAGTAATCCTGTTACAGTTACAAGTTATTTTTACTAAGCAGTAACGCGTTACAATTACAAGTTACTGAAAAAGTAACTAGTTACCGGTAACACGTTACTAGTAAATAGTTACTGGTCAACACAGGTTCGAACACTCCAACGTCCCCGCACCCACCACAGCGCACTATAGCAAACAACACTCACACCTTACACACGAAAAATAAAGCAAAATTCAAACAAACCGCGCTGACTGACAACTCTTTTTATATAACTTTGTCTTCTTCAACCTCTAGCACCACAAAGCTATATAAAAAGAGTTGTCAGTCAGCGCGGTTTGTTTGAATTTTGCTTTATTTTTCGTGTGTAAGGTGTGAGTGTTGTTTGCTATAGTGCGCTGTGGTGTGTGTAATCATGTGCAACCAGGTCGCCCAAGCTGCTACGTCCCCGCACCGCCCCGATTTTTGCAGGGCGCCGACGGCGCTTTCGCCGGGATGGGGCGAGACGTCGGCTGTGTGAATGAGGCCTAAGGCGCCCGTTTCCGGCTTGAGCGCTGTCGCCGTCGCCGTCGGTGTTGGCATAACCGCGCGTTGCATTATGGGACATTTCCCGTAATGCAACGCGCGGCTTCAGGACATTTCCCATAATGTGACGTTTCGCATAATGCAACTGGCGTTGCATAATGCAACTCGCGTTGCATAATGCAACGCGCGGCTTCACGAGTGGCTTCAGGGAGGAGGAGGAGAAAGAGAGAAGGAGAGTGAGGGGAGGAGAAGGAGGAGGGAAGAGGAGAAGCAGGGAAGAGAAGGGGGAGGAGAGAGTTGGAGGAGAGGGAGGGAGGAGGAGTGGAGGCGGAGGGGAGACGGAGGAGTTGGAGGGGAGGGGGAGAGGAGGAGGAGAGGAGGCGGAGGGGAGACGGAGGAGTAGGAAGGGAGGGGGAGAGGAGGAGGACGGGAGGTACTGGCAACCCGTTGTGCAGCCTGCAGGCAAGTGATATCACCATTCATAAATTACAAGGAAGCACTTATGTAAACATGGTGTACTCGTTATCCAAGTGGCCATCTACATGGTTACGGTCTGCGCTGTACGCATTTAGGGTCTGTGTTGTAGCCAAAAGAAGGGAGGAGGAGGAGCAGAAGAGGAGAGGAGGAGCACGGGAGGAGGGAAGAGGAGAGGCTACAGATGAAGAGGAGGGGCACACCCTCCTCTACGTACCCTCCCCTCCTCCTCCTCAAGAGCTGCGCGTAATTCGGCGTTACAGGGTGGAATAAACATCTGTTTTTTTAAACAAATCTGTAAAACAAAAAAAAAAAAAAAACAAAAAAAACTGCGTATGTAGGTGTGTACGTTCAATACCACTTAGAACAAAGCCTGCGCGTTTTCTCCTCTAAACACCATCACTAGTAGATCCCCTCAGCGCCCCCTAGGAAGCCCGGATGAGCACTATCGCCTGCTACATCGTCTGCGACATCGTCTGCTCCATCGCCTGTTTCAGTGGTTTGTGTAGCAGATAAAGAAACAGATGCTCACGCCGAATGTCTGTTGGTATAGCATACGATGAAGTTAGACGTTCACCTGGAGCGTCAAATGCACGAATGAAAATGCCTTACTGATGCGCGAAGGGCTGCAAAGCACTTCTCTGGACGTTGATACTGGAGGCCATTTTTGAGGGTGCTGTTTATATTCCGTTCACTCTTAAGCAGAGAATGCAGCCAATGCCACGAGCACGAGAACTCGAGGTCGCTGTTTTGAAGCGTTCTTCGGCAGAACGAGCGCGCGCGCTAGAAATGCACATCTCAAAGCCAGGAGCGCGTGCTAGCTCGCGCTCCTGGCTGAGGGAGTGTTCGCATGCGCGTTGCAAATGAACTGTGGAAGTTCGCTATCAGCTCGCGCTTAGCAGTCTCGCGCATAGCTGTGGCCGCCAGTGAATGAGACGAGCTAATACCACCTAGAACACAAGGCCTGCGCGTTTCCTCCTCTAAACGTCATCACTAGTAGATCCCCTCAGCGCCCCCTAGCTAGCCCGGATGAGCAACATCGTCTGCTACATCGTCTGCTACATCGTCTGCTCCATCGCCTGCTTCAGTGGTTTGTGTAACAGATAATGAAACAGATGCTCACGCCGAGTGTCTCTTGCAAATAGCATACGATGAAGTTAGACGTTCACGTGGAGCGTCAAAGGCATGAGCGAAATTGCCATACTGCTGCGCGAAGGGCTGAAAAGCCCTTCGTTGGACGCTGGACGCTGACACTGGACGCCATTTTCGAGGGCGCTGTTTATAGGAGGTATTCACTGGACGCCATATTTGAGGGCGATGTTTAGAGCGCATGCTTAGAACGAGCTCACATTAATAGCGTGCTAAGACCGGCAACCTTGACGGTGCTAAATGCACGCTCCAAAAGGACTGCGGAAGCTCGCCGTCAGCACGCGCTCAGCAGCAGCGCACACGAATATGGCCGCCAATGAATACTCCCTATACCTCGGGTAGCTGCTTCGAAGCGTTCTACCGCAGAACGACCGCGCGCGCTAGAAATGCGCGTCTCAAAGCCAGAAGCGCGTGTTAGCTCGCGCTCCTGGCCGAGGGAGCGTTCGCGTGCACGTCGCAAATGCACTGGAAGCTCGCTATTAGCTCGCGCTCAGCAGTCACGGACACAGCTGCGGCCGCAAGTGAATGCGAAGTAGTTGCGACGCAGCCCCTACTCTCGTCAAGCTTCGGGCTGTTTGCCGCTTGGGGCGGGTCGGGGATCTACTAACGAAACGTCATGCGCAGGCCTTGTCTTCTAGGTGGTATTGGACGAGCACGCAGTTCTGACGCGGTTCCTACTCTCGTCAAGAATCAGCCTGTTTGCCGCTGCGGGTCGGGGATCTATTAACGAAACGTTATGCGCAGACCTTGTCTCCTAGGTGGTATTGACCCCTTAAGTGACTACGTCACAACATGGCGTCTGGGTCCAAACAAACCGTTGCTATGGACGTTGCTATGGAATAATGCATGGAGACTCCCCATGAGGTTAGATTTTTGCTTACAAGTATGTAAATAATTTTTTGTAAGCATCCTAACTTCTTGATATCTAATTATGAAGATGTTCTTGTCGTCTTAGTGTCTTTTTGCAACGACGAAAGCCATTTCTGAAGTATTACACTTCGCTTTGCTTTGGTAGCAGGCGGCACGATAGATTTGCTGGACTCTGTTGCAGCGGGCGTCTTCATTGATTTGCGTCGGTAAACGAGCGACAAGAACAAGTGCATCGTCATGGCCGTAAAGACCTCCGCAATGTGCGTGTTTTTTTGTTTTTTTTTTTGTGGGGAACCCAGCTTAGTTCAGAGGGGTGAAAATGTCGTAAAGTCAAACCACGTCGTGCAGATCAGTTACGACGACGACCTGACGTGCATTACCGGCGTAGTGCAGGACAGCATGAGAAACAAATCGTACGCCGTCGAGGTAAGTCGTTTATCATTATTATTATTGTTGAGGTTGTAAGATTATTACAGAAATGCATGTCTATGGCAATTTCGCAGTATTTTTTTTTTTTTATTTGTATAGATCAAATTCTGTGGATGTGCTCTTTTGGTGAAGATCTCCATCGAACCCGCGATGCGAGTACAATCTATAATAAACTTACCTTATGTTTTTTATCTAGTTCTTTCGCGCTTTGGGGTCTTGCGGAAATCTGGAGAAACTGCAAGTATCTTTCTCCACGCGATGTTTACAACCAGGTACGAAACACCCTCCCATAGCGCGAGTCCCGCAAACAAACTTTGGGATTTCAATCGATCGCCTGAAGTGCTTTTTTCACGGGTGCATTGCGATATTTTAGCAGACGATCATCTCGATCGATGCCCGGACTTTCGATAAATCATATTTTGCATCGCACTCCACTATAAATTCTTATAAGTGTCTGAAACTCATTATATTTCAAACAAATGCAATATCAGAATATCGTCTTTATTCACACGATTCAGACGCCGGCGCCGGCTTGGCCGGAGGGCGTGTGGCAAACGGCTCACTACTGGATCTACTTGCATTCGTCGTCTGCTGCAGGCATCTTGAGGACCGGAAGTTGCAGTCGTAAACATTTCAGAAACAAGCGATTACCGGCACACTTCTGTTGCAACATTTATGACATTCAAGCTTTCTATACATGTGATTTTTAGAAGTTTAAATCCTACTCCTGATTTTTGAATGGTCGGGTTTTCGTAGCAAAACCTAGCCAGATGTATTTGTCCATAACAACGACCCTAGCAACGGTTTGTTTGGACCCATGACGTCACACTAACGGAGTCAATTGGCACGCTGCGCGCGTCGCAGCTGCCAGATAAAGCCATCTCCTCGTCTTGGTTACAAGCGGCGCCACCAGATGGCCCCTCGATACGCGACTAAGGGGAACCTGTCGAGAGCTCGGTTTCCCATGCTTCTCTATGGGAGACATACTAGTTTCTAAAGTAATATTTTGGTTGCGACACGTCATGTACAAATTAGCACTTGCGCTAGGCGTGTTGCTTCGACACTGCTTCGTCGTTAGCTCTAGTTTCGTGTCTCGACGGCGTCGATAACCGTTTTATGAACACGCCGAAGCGGAGACCTCTGACTCGGCGTTCAAGTCAGCTTTTGTCAAGGTCAGAGCAGACGCTCCGAGGGGAAAGAGCGCGTGCCCAGGTGCCTTTGGAACGAGTCACTTTTTGTCGTTGTTTTATTTACTTATTTTTTCATCAGTTCGTCTGCTCGGCGGAGACGCTGTTGGCTGAGTCTACTCGAGCGCGCGTCAGTAGGACTTTATCTGGTCGATCGCGTCTCAGCGTTCATCGTGTTGTATGTCTTCACCTATTGCATATGTCTTACACGGTTCTCCAGCATAACTCTCTTCACCCGACGTCGTGTGGGAGGTCACCACGATTACTTGCAGGGCGTCTTGCTGAACTGCTGTGGGTTGATGCCTGTCCACTGCTGAACGTAGCTGCGCATGTTGACCAGGTAGGTCTCGGTGGACGTGTGGTTGCGACACAGGATCCAGGCGTACTCTGCGATGTCACAAGAGAGTTTGAGCGGCAACACTCTTTTTAACATAGAATACGCTTTAAATATGACATTTTTTTTGGGGGGGGGGGGGTGGGGTGGGGGGGGGGGGGAGCTTGTTTTGGCTGTAGCTTTTGTTGTTTACCAAGTTTTGTTAAAATGAACCATAACCAAGCTCTAATTCAGCACTCTTCCGGGTTGCCAACGCACAAATAGAACCAACCAACCCAGGCCCGCATCGTTCCTAATGCAGACTTTGGTTCATGTTTGTTAGATTTTGTTTTTGTCACCTCTCCCCGCCGTCATCGGTGTTTGTGTTCAGCTTCATGATGCCCAGCCGGTTAATTTTTGTTCATGTCCACCGTTTCTGACCTTCAACTATCCCAAAGGTACAGCGTGTCTCGTCTCAAAGATTTATTTTTTTTACCTAAAAAATAAAGTAAATTACGCATCACCTAGTGCTCATTCTCCGTACTCCCAAATGCAAATGTAGAGGTCCGAAACATATGCCAAAATTTCAGAAGTAACCATTACCTCACTGAAAAGTGATAAGCTGTTTCTTAAAAATTTCAGTGGGAAAATGGAACCAGTTTTTGCCCGTTTTCGTTGACTGGAGCCATTATAATCTGTGCATTCGAGAGCTCCGTCTATTTTCTCATTAAAAATTTCAGGAAATCATTTATAACGTTTGAATAAGGAAACATTAGCTCTAAATCTTCGGCGTGTGGTTTACTCCGCCAGCGCTACATTGTGGCAAAGAATGAGCGTTCGGCAAAGCATACTTTATTTATGCGATGACAAAAAGAACCTGTAGATTTTTCTTTGGTACATCAGATGTGTTGGTTTTGTTCCGTTTTTTTTTTTTGCTGAAGAGAACGTGGTAATGGAATGTGGTGGCGGGCGGCCGTGTGCATAACCGGTGAAGGTTTGGTGGAAGACTAGCGTATAAAACGTTATGTCTGAATAAAATTAATTTTTCTGCATTTGGAACGTGCTATCTGTTTATAATGCACTTAATGCAAAGGTGCAAGCGAGATAAACAAGAATGACAATAATAATCCCTTGAGAAGAAGAACATGGGGGACAAAGGACAAACATAAATTTCCAAACACCGCTAGGTGACTGGTGCGCGACCGAAAAAATCCGCCTGTTCCTGGTAGCGAACCCGGGACCTTTCCATTTCCAGTGAAGAGCTTTACCGACAAAGCTAACCAGAGTTTAGACGTCAGTACAGCAAACGGTTTTTATCAGCTGCCTCCGGTCTAACACCAACAAGGGTGAACGGCTTGCATTTTAGGGTTATGATTATAATGCAATTAATGCAATGGTGCAAGCGAGCTGTACAATAATGACAATAATAATCCCGGGAGAAGGGGAACAAGAGGGACAAAGGACAGACAGAAGAGCGCGACCGAAAAATTCCGCCTGTTCTTAGTATCGAACCCGGAACCTCTCCATTTCTAGTCAGCTAACCAGAGGTTAGGCGTCAGTAGAGCAAACTAATGTTTTCGGTCGCACACCAGTCACCTATAGCTGTGTTTGGAGATCTCTGTTTGTCTTTTGTGCGCCTTGTTTCCTTTCTCCAGGGATTATTATTGTCATTCTTGTGCAGCTCGTTTACACCTTTTAATTAATTACATTATAATCATAACCATAAGATATGCAGGCCGTTCACCCTTGTTGGTGTTAGACTGGCGGCAGCTGATAAAACCCGTTTGCTCTACTGACGTCTAACCCCTAATTAGCTCAGGGGTTAGAGCGCTCCACTGGAAATGGAGAGGTGCCGGGTTTGGTACTATGACCAAGCGGATTTTTTCTGTCGCACATCAGTCACCTAGTTGTGTTTGGAGATTTCTCCTTGTCCTTTGTCCCCCTTGTTCCCCCTCTCCAGGGATTATTATTGTCCTGCTATGTGTGCCCATTTTTAGTCATCCGTTTGTTTGCGGTCTAAATTTTGTGTACATAAACCCGTTTTCTTCCACTCTCGTGAACATTCTACCAGAGGTGCACATTGCTCACACTTTTATCAAAACACATACTCGTGTGTAGCCAGAAGAGCTGTAGGCAGCGGTACACGATGGAGCAGTTTTCGTAGTCTGCGTAGAGAACCCAGAAGGGCCGCTGCTCCGGATCTGAAATGCAATCGCATTGACCTAAATACTAACCAAGTGTGGACACGGAATACGCGGAATGTGTATGGGGCGCCTGCCATGGGATGCTCACTTTGTGCCAGGAACCGCATGGTCATTTTGGCCGGTTCTGTCTGGTTAGTGATGGAGAGCTCGCCCAGCACACGGTTCAGGTGGCCACTGCGACAACGCAGTTCAGAGGGTAAACAGAAAATAACTGTTGTTGCTGGCACTGCGGTGCAAAGACCGCGTCTTGGACTCCTAGCTGCACTGAGCAGAGTCTTACACGATGAGTTTGGTCAGGAGGACGAGTCGGGCATGGTAATTTGAGCGGCGGTATACTTTGTTTCAGCTTAAGCCCAGACGCATGTACAGAAACATGATGAGCACCATGATGGTGCGCTTTTGACGCTGTCCCTGCTGACGCTGTGATGGTGCCATAAGCTCTTAGCTTTGGCCGCGTCTGAACCTAAGGCGAAACGAAGTATAGTATGTCTAGGATTGAGAGAATTTACAACTGTTCAATTAGAACAAACTGGACAGAGCGCTTCATAGTTCGATCTCCTCGATGATATAGTTCTGGACTTCGGCGGTGCTTTTCTTTCTAAGAAACGCTGCTTCGAGAAAGCTGACGTCACGTCATCAAAGAGCAAGTGTCATGCATCAGTTGCTGGGACAGCAGCATATGCCTATGTGGCGCGTAACTTTGTATCGAAAGCATCATATACGTTCACCGCTTGAGGCATCTTATTGTGAAGGATGTTCATCGTTCATGCAGACAATAGGCGTTATTTGTTTTGTTTTCTTTACAAATTTACTGCCGAAGAAGTCAGCATGTGCGGATGTTGGTAGAAAAACTCAGTTGGAAAACTGCCAGAGGAGCCTGATTTGAAGAAGTGCACTTCAAACCGTACTTCGAATTCGAACTATACACGATCAAAACGCAGTTAATTGGTTCTACCGCAGTGGTCACTTCGGGAATTTTACATTATACTTAGGGTTCAGCGTTTTCGGTTTCTATTTTTTCAAAATTCGGCGTACTTTTTTCGGTGTTTATCTTAAAGTTCGATTTTCGTTTTTTTTTCGGTGTATATTTTTCCCACAAACGTCTACCGGTGTTTTTCGGTAAATATTAAAAAACACCATCTGACACCGGATCAGATGATCCTTGTAACTGTGATATTTGTGATCACTCAAAGAATAACGGCACAGGTACATTGAAGAAACAAAACAAAAACAAAAAAACATCCACATATTATTTGACAAATGTGTGCAACTGTAAAGAAGAAGTCAGTGCCTAAAAAACATGGAACTTCACCTTTTGTACATCATGATTACGCGATATTATTATAGTAAACACAGATGTGCTTTCCCAAATTTTCCTCATTGGTCCATGCTCATTCTTTCCTGTTAATGACCCCGGGCTTCGAGAATGCCCTCTCAACGTTAACACTGGACACTTGCAGGCTGAGGAGATGAATCGCTGCCTGAGCCAAAATCGGCCAATCAACCAAATCTGACTACCAAAAGAGACACGGTGCGACCTTTTGAAGCACAAAATATTTCTTGTATTCACAAAACTCTGGCTGCAGATCTTGCATGAAGCGAAAAACCTTATACTAGCCCACACCCGAACTTTTTTTTTTAGGACCAGGAACTTGACACACTAAGCCCGATCCCAGAAAGGACACAGATGTCCTGCGAAGACCCAAGACCTATTTTGTTGCATGTTGAACTTCGGAAGAGGGAAATTACGAAGAGGTCACACAATATCGTACCTTGCAACGCCCTCTCTCCCCTTCCCCCTCCTTCACCCTCCAACCACCCACCTTCACCCTCCCCCCACCCAAAACTGACCATTTTCAGTTAAAACAGAATTTTAGAAAATGGATTCGGCGTACTTTTATCGGTTTAAACCGAAAACGCCGAACCTAAAGACTGACCTTTTTTAGTTAAAACAGAATTTTCGAAAATGGCTTCGGCGTACTTTTATTGGTTTTTATCGGTTTAAACCGAAAACTCCGAACCGTAATTATACTGAAACAAAGAAGAACAAAGTCATCTTACCTGCGTCTGCGAATTTAACTTTTGCTTACTCCCTTGTCTGAACTGCCAAGTAACCAACGAACTACAAGCGAACTAACTGAAACAGACTGACGGCAATGGGGGGCGCTGTAATTGAATCTGCGTTCCAGTGACTCGGTTCACGTTCCAGGGGCGAGATCCCAAACTGAGTTGTTCATAGTAGCGTGGGCATGTGCTGCTTGCGGAGCTACAATTCCTCTCTACTCCTCGGTATTTTAATAAGTTTTGAAAAACACCATGGCGACTTTTGCGAAATCTACAGCACCTAGCGGCTAGAACAGAAATCTGTAGCGGTAGGTGCGCTCGCCAGATTTCTGGAGCGAATCACATATTCACAGCACCCTGCGGTCTAAAGACCAAGCCGTGAAAGTAGGTTTAGAAACACGCGATGAAAAATCGCCGACAGTACAGAACGTTCAGGGCGGTCACTCACTTCGGGAGCACTGCGGTGTTTGCTGTAGAGAACTTCCCTTGGCCGTCGTAGTAGTACTCGGCAGCGACGCAGCTGAGACGGGGCAGCCCACGTCGATGCGTTCGTTCAACCTCGAACCACTTACCGGAGAACTGGGAAGATGACGCAGAACAATTCAGAGTTCTATAAAAACGCACATTATGATTGCACTCCGTCCATATTAAGATGAATCGCCGAAGACGGTACGAGCCAAGGAGCCAGCTAGGAATGGCGACGCGCGAAAGCACTCGGAGCGCTACATTGGCCGGATGGCACTGGTATTGGCTGTGCCCTATCTCAAGGCCGGTTCAGACACTTGCGATTGAGTGCGTTTGACTGCGTTGCGTCGAGAACCGAAAGCGAGTCATCGGCACATCTGTGTTTCGTATGATGCGTGGAATCCAATTCCAGGAATGATCTTGGCACGCGATATAAGCAGCATGGGATGTCAGGTTTCCCGCAGCCACAACGCAGCCGCAACGCAGTTAAGCGCAGTCAAATGCAACTGTCTGAACCAGGCTTCAGGGTGAGATAAGAAGGTGCCAGCACGTGCAGCATGCATGTTAAGGAAACTTAAGCAAGCTTCTATACTCGTATCTACCTCAAGAACCAAAGTAAAAATCAGTCCAGCTCCTCGTGGGAAGCTACGGATTTCCCCCATTGTGCGTTGAATTGAGGTATGTGGTAGATTAGATATATTAAATTAGCTTTATGCTATTTTATCAAGACGTACACGTTTCAAGTGCCCCTCCCCAAATTGTAACTTCCTTCCACAACCAAATAACGCGAGAATTACTTCGCGTAGTGCACGAATGATTTCGCAAAACTTTCTTTTTTCTTGATGTGACAAGGAGAACATAATTGCAAACGCTTGTTCACACACACAGATACAGGGCTGTGTCTATTTTACTAACGGGCTGTTAGCAAATATATCCGAGGTTTTCCACATCGGGTGTAAACAATGCGCCTGAGCGAAAACAAAAACAAAAACGAATTTGTGAGGAGTTAAGCGTCCGCGCGCGCGCCGCGTCAACAGCAGCGTTAAGGCTCTGTTATACTCCGACGTAACGCGTGCGCGCGTGCGAGCGCGTCACAGCGACGTCACGTCGGCGAAAACCCGACGCTCTATACTTCGGCGTCGTGGCGTAACCGGCTCGACCGGCGGCGTTCGACGCAGCCTGACCGCCTCGACGCCAAAATGGAGCATGCCGTATTCCGCGCCGGTCGCGCCAGCGACGCCGGACCGAGATGCACCACGCGCTGGCTCCCGGCAGCCCTCGCGGCGAATACGAGCAATATCAGACGACGGGAGCACCACTCCGTGTGGCGTCATGTTTGAAGAATCAAACGTCTCGGTCGTCGAGAAGCTGATTGAGGGAATTCGTCCTCACGCGAGTGTCTACGATTCGAGGAAGCTTGAGTACCGTAGAATGTGCGCTTGTCAAAGATGTACCGCATGTACATTCTTATTACATTGACCGCCTACGCTTGCGGTGCAGGCGGTGCACCAACAGTGCAAGCCCGAGTTTTCGTCGTGCAAGGTACGTGCACGCCATCGGTCGAACTCGGCGCTCAAGAAGCGCGAGAATTCTTGTCTGCTATTCGAAACGAAAAGGAACCGGAAATGGCGCACTCTCGCAGGAAATGCGCCCTCGTAGCCAGATTCTGCGCATGCGCCGCGCTGGCGGCCCACCGACGCGCGCCGCGGAAGTCGCAAGGGCCGCCGGAGTCTAGAGAGGACGAATTTTTGACGCGCGCGGCGTGACTGAGGTGACGTAGCCGACTTCGGTCAGCGTTTGCTTGCGCGCGCGTTACGTCGGAGTATAACAGAGCCTTTACCGGAGCAACGTGACGTCATCACCGCGTGTTGGTGTGTACACCCTTCCAGCGCCTATCTCCCAGACGAATAATTGCCGAGCCACGGGGCTGTGCACGCATGCGCGGCGTCTGATATATTGGGAGGAAGAGAGTTAGCGCGCAAGCCCACAACGCGTTCCGCGGTCCTATAGCCTAAAAAATGGCAGCGCGCAGAAGATGATTATTGGAATGGTGTGTATGCGGGGCGCAAGTCCGTCTGCTTCTGGCTCAGGGGTTGCGGTGACGTTAGAACGGGGAGCTCTGCTTGGCTCCGATTAGAAGGATAGTGGGTAGATCCTCAAGGCAGCTATAGCATTGAGGTTCACCCACTATCCTTCCAATCAGCTCTAATCAGAACTTGGCGTTCTGACGTCACTGAAAACTCCGCGCAAGAAGCAGACGGACTTGCGCTCCGCATAGAGTCCCTGCCACTTGAGGGTATGGCGAGTCCCCGAGCATCTCATTAGCGTCCCGCAGCCAATCAGATTGCGGCATTTGCAGATGAGAACAGGAAATAACCAACCGCGATGGTAAGAGCGCGAAAACAGTTAGCCGCACTCTTCGTCTCCTAAGCTGCCCTTGACTACAGATGCTCCGCGTGCAATGATGTACAGGAGGGGCAGAGCGTTGAGAGCAAGCAGACATTCCCAAAAGAGCTTGCGAATCCTCGTACCGGGAGAAGGAAGAAACTTGCCGATAAGGTGATGTACCAACACGGCTTCACGCTATGGTGGTCTGGCGCATGCTTGCTGAACCCATTAAATGCAGGATTAGCGGTGATTAAAGTTTACTCTCACGCCGCTGTGTGCGTTCATTTATGCGAAATCATCGAGCAATTGCCTGTTTGAGGGCAGACGAGGCCGGCTTCACTGTTGTTCTTTACATAGCGCATCCAAACCAAGTGGCTAAACCCCTCTCGGGAGTCACAACGGACCCTCTATTTAAGTACGCCCTACTTGTATGGCGTACAATTTTGACGCATAATAACGCAAAACCCCAGAGCAAAAGCTTAAAGAACAGGACGCAAAGAACCGATATAGGTTTCAACTTCTGAAAACAAAGGTGGAAATAAAAATTTCAGTTTAAACGCTCAGAGTTAACGATTGCGATAAACATGCAATCACCCCACGCCTGCGTACAGGGCTTAATAAGCTAACTTGTGCCACGAACTAAGAAATACTTGTTCACGTCGGGCGTGTCGAACCAACCCTGTATTGTTCACTGCTCCACTGAGCGATTGAAGACATTTTTTTTTGCGATGTGCCACGCTTGTTTAGCGGGTCCGACGTCACACCTCAGCTGTCGCTGTGTTTTATCCTTAGGGGTTGCGCGAGTGTTTACCAATTTTTTTTTTACACACGCGTGGATTCATAGACGCAACTTTCCAGCGCTTATCTTCGAGGCGAAAACGGGCTGGGTCACCAGCCCGCGAGGCGCATGCGCGGTGTCCAATACCAAACAGAAGAAAGCTACGCGGAGAGCAAGTCGTCTGCTTCTTTTGCAGGGGTTGCAGTGACGTCAGAAAGACGCCGAGCTCTGATTGGCTATGTTGTAGGAAGGATAGTGAGTAGACCTCAAAGCAAGCTGCCTTGAGGTCTACCCACTATCCTTCATTCAAAAGCAATCAAAGCTCGGCTTCTTTCTGACGTCACCACCACGCCTGCAAAAGAAGCAGACGAACTTACGTTCCGCATTGCGCATGCCCAGAACGCATCGAACAACCCAGTATAGGCAAATATGGCAGCGTGCGGCGAAGCGATAATTTGAAACGAACTGTAGGAACGTGGGCTGGGGCACAACACTGGCTTATTTTTTTATTTTCTTTTAGTTACTGGCAATTTAAGAAATGCAGAGCGTGCTGCATTTCTTAAATTGCCAGTGACTAAAAAAAGCTAGAAGCGTGTATTTCTGCTCACGCTTCTTGCTTTGTCCTTCGGCGTTCCAATCGGCTAGCGCTGCAATATCATTGGCTGTAGTTCAGTACTAAGACGCTGGAGAGTATGGTACACTCTACTCGTATGAAATAAGTAGAAGGTACGTCGGATAAGTGCTATTTCACGTTTGGAGAAGAAACAAAACAGATGATTACGCAAGCTTGATTATGCTGACAAAGACCGGTAAGTGCACAATGTGTGATAGGCCTTCCTGGGAAGAAGAGAAGGGCGTGGGAACGGCACCGCCTAGCGAAGATTCGCTCTCATTTTCTGACACGCGTGCCGTGAGAGTCGAGCGAGACGGTCGCTCATTTCATTTTTATATGAATAAAATGCTTCAACAACGCAGCTCACGTGCGCACATTCGCGCCAAGGATTTTGCTTTTGCACATTCTTAACTCGACCCCGTAGATAGCTCATTCGGCTAAGCACTGGTCTCACAACCTCAAAATGGTGAGTTTAAATCCTGCTGCGGTACTGAAGTCTTCTTACATGGTTCCCTACGGGCGTTACGCTCTTCGTTGTCGTTTTTTTTTTTTTATTTTTTTTTTGTTACAGCCGGCTGTTACAGCCACATTTTGCAGTGAAACGTTACAGAACTCTGATAAAACACATTCTGCTTTAAAAACAAATCAAAAACAAACAAAACGAATTCTTACCTTATTTGGGTCAAACTTGTCGAGCACCCTGACTAGGGGACACCCGCCAATCTCGGTTACCTGACACGAAACATGTGGTAAGAACGTAATTAAAGCTACAACAATGCTGCCCTTCATCGCGGCCATGACGAATTACTTTTGCTACGGTTATTCTTAGCAGGATCCACTCGTAGCTGTCTGCCTCACAAACACAGAGCGGCCTACAGCGGAATGTTAACGCCGCATTGAGCTCAACGATGAAGAAAAAAGAACAACACCCTGATAGGTTTTTTTTAGGTTTCGTAGTTCCTGTCCTAATATTGCAGGAACCATGGTTCGCTGTCTACCTGGGCGGATTTGGAGAGGAGGAGGACCGGGGGGGGGGGGGGGGCGGAACAAACAAACAGTCTAATGGGCGGAAACGTTGTTGCAACAACAGCGTGCGTTAAATGGGTCAATGATCCAAATGAGATAATTAGTGCCCAGGGCTCGCGTCCGTGGAGAGACCGGCTGGTCCGTTTCTGTGTCCTCGATGCTGTGGACAAGCTGCAATCGCCCGAAAAAGGTGATCATGACCCCCTATACCAGTACAAGTAACCGTAGTACGCGTAACTCAATAACGTGCTCTGTATAAGAATTACAGCTGTGAAGTTACAATGAAAAAATAAAAAGCAAAAAAAAAAAATACCAATGATGAAGACATGGGAAAAAGAACATAGTAGAACTATGATTGTTTTTTTATAGACAGTTCCTCTCTCTTTGCTTTTGCGATAGGGTCATTTCCCGTCAAACGATACAACACTCAAATTGTACCCTTACGGATTAAGTCTAAGAATTGTATGTGTTATTGGCGATGAAAATATACTTTTTCCAAAATATTTTTGTTGTAAAGTTTTTATTATTCAGCCGACACCATGAATTTTGCGTAAAAAAAAAAAAAAAAGGCCCCAAGGGGGAAACAAATTTTTTTCCAGAAAGGTTTCAAACGAGAAAGCGAAATGAACACCGTTTTTAGTAGGTGAATATATTCTGCTGAATTATCAAATACGCATGGCCAAGGATTTCTGATTGTTGTCAGGATGCAGATGCGTAAAAATGTACTAAAAGCCCCCAATATCTGACGTTTATTTTCACAAATACGCTATCATATAAGACTTAAAATTTGTGTGTTAGTACTAAGAGAAACAACGTGCACTGAAAACAATTTTCGATAAAATTGTTTTACTTCTTTTTCAAAATATTAAACATACAAAGCAAAATACTCAATAAAAAAAATAAAACACCTAAAGATGGTTGGCCTAAAACATATACTCAACGGTTATAAAAAGACTAGAATGCACACAACAAACGAGCAAAGTTCGAAAGAAGTAATATTTGTAAAAGCGAACAAAAATATTTTAACTGGGTCCATTGCCACTATTGAACGTATTGAAAAATACCCAGTTAAAAAAAGAGTGCTCGGTTTAAAAATACATATTTAACACTTATATGTAGCGCTAAAAAACAGGCAAACACAGTTCGAAAAAAAAATATGAATCTTTAAAAAAATTTACTTCCGTATTATTTTTAGCATTGAGCAGATTGCAAAACGCGTAGCTAGAAACAAACAAAAACAAACCAGAGGAAGAAGTGTTTAGTCTAAAAATTACAGGAGGACACTTAAGCTTCACTTTTAAGAGCGGAATGCGATAGGTAAAGATAAACCACGGCTCGTTCCTAAGGCGTGCAAACGTGTTTGCTTAACCTACAAAAAAAAAAAGAAAAAGAAAAAAAAGAAAGAAGTGTTTGCCTGTTCTAGTCTCTAGCGTGTCAAACTTGTCGAGTCAAACTTGTCGAGCACCCTGACTAAGGGACACCCGCCAAACTCGGTTACCTGACTTGAAACATGTGATAAGAACGTAATTAAAGCTACAACGAAAGCTACAACGAACGAAGGGTCGTGGGTCTGAATCGCGCACTCCTAAAATTCTTCAAATTTTTTCTTTAAGGCAAATGAATTACTTTATAAAGGTAAATGCTTTTAGACGCGCGCGAGGTCATGTGACTGTTACGTCATGACCTTATCGACCGATCAGGATTTTCGCGTTTTCTGGAACGCCCCCGAGGCAGGCGCGACACGAACTCCTGAACGCCAACGGGTCATTCGCGTCACTCCGGCTTCTCTGGAACGCCAGCGAGGCCGGCGCCCTACGGGCTCGATAAACCTTTGATGTTCAGCATTGCCCAGGAGCAGCAACACAAGAATGATCCAATTTCTACCACGCCATGTGCGCCCCAATAAATTTAGCGCCCTCTGTCGCAAGGACGTGGATTCCACCACTTAGCAGTGAAGAATAGAATTGCCCCTTCATAACACATCACTTGTCTTTTAAAACGAAAGCTGACGGGAGATGTGAGGTACGATGGCGTTCATCACTGACCTCGAAACTCCGAGGAGAAAAACGGGCGCGAATATTGCACATCTAGTTGCAGGCGAAATTCCAAGTACCCCTGTGCCTTCTCCCAGGTCGTAACTGCTTTCAGTTATTGGACGTAAAATATTGCTGCAAATGTCTAATGTTGCTCACATTCAACATTTCAAAAACATAATTACGAAAAAACGTAATTTTTCTTGAGACCCGATTTCTGTTATCCTTTGTGTTGTAAAACCATGTCAGGATTTCTAGGTCTCCAGTATTTCAAGTAAGGTTTTGGGCATCAAAGGCTTAACGCTATCGCGTTCAAAGTGCATGCTTAAAGGGGCCCTGCAAAAATATTTAAGCGTCTACCTTTTTCTGCGGTTTCCAGGTCTCTTAGATCTCGGGCAAGGCACTGGGCACGGAGAGAGTAATTAAATATCAGTGCGTCATATTTTATCCGGACGACGCGGAAACCTCCTCCACCTACAGGGGCGACCCGCGGTGCCGAAAGCGCGCGATATGTGGCGTGTTTGGTCCTGGGCTTACTACTGGTCAGAGCCGCTAAAAGCTTTTCTTTTTTTAGTCGAAATACAAAATATAAGTGGCGCGAACGGTTTCAAATATTTATAAAAGTAGTTTTTGTACAGTATTTTAAATCAGAAAAGAAACAACTGCAGTTTATAAAGTACGGAAACAAGAAATGACCCGTCGACCTACCCGCCACCAAGCGATGGAAAAGGCGGCGCATACCAGAAAGGGGTAGTGGGGTCAGGCACCGACGAACGGCGAGCGTAGAAAGGTCCCGGATGTACGCGGTGGCGCTGCAGTCGTATACGGGCTCGAGGATCTGACCGGTTCCGAGCGCTCCGAAGGCCTTCGGCGCAGGTTTTGTTTGCGATTTGGCCGTTTGGTGGTATGGAAGCGCGAAGTATCTCCCGTTCTGAACTGATCTTTACCCCGTGTTTGCTGTCGGTTGTGGCCAATGAAGTGTCATGCCGAATTAGTCTTTAATCGCGTAGCAAATGCAGTGCGAGCCGCCCTGGCCGCCCGCTTCATACAGCCTATCCAGAACATGCTTTAGTGGCGCCCTCCCGAGCCGTCGACACGGAGTGCGGCAGCCGTGAGCGCTCGCTGAGCTCACTACTCTTCCTCTACTTCACGGCCACTCAAGCCACGACCAACGACGTCATGAAGGAGGTTATTTTTTGCTCGCTTTTGTAATTTGATTTTCCTATACACCAACTCAACTCTCCTACGTCACGCCGCGGTGGTGGCGCGCCGGACGCACTTCCGGTCTGGGGCGGTGGGCAGAAGTCGCCGTGCCAGACATGCATTCCTGTGTTCCTTTGGAAGAAACGAGACAAAAAACCTGCCTTCTCGTCAAAATGCTGCGACGGGGGCTTTACTGGCTTTACCAAGAGAGTCTGGAAAGGTTTGAAGATCAGTTTTCATGTGTTTTTGCACCCTCCGTTCGTCCGAGAACGTGGATAGTAGCCGTGAAAAGGGCAAACTAGACGCTGTCGAACTACGATTGCGTGTGCGGGCCACAATTTGTGGTCGCCAGATGTATTTGCTTCGTTCCAACATGAACGAGAGAAAAAACCCAAGTTGTCCGGACCACCCACGGGTTGAGTGCGTCTTCAAATTCACACGGCCGCCTGATCGTTCGAACTTTCGTCTGCTCTTTCAAACTTGTCTGCTTTTTGTCGTCTGCTCGTTCAAACAAAGACTGCCCATAGATCAAACTTTGACCCGGTGATTGCAATAAGAAGTAATTTCAGGCCTCAAAAGGCTTAAGTAGGCTCGGTGTAAACAGTAGATACAAGATGTTAATTATTGGTACCGGTGGCCATCACCTACTTGTTACGCTTGGTCTGTTCCCGCTTCCGATTTTCAGTATCGACGTCGATCATCGCCGCTACCTTTTACACTTCTGCAGCACGAGCGACGTCGCGACCGAAAATAGCTACAAGAATCTCATCATGGTTTTGGCGTCGATTCTGCAGCGTTCATACGAATGAATAGCCGCACGTCAAATTATTTACGGAAACTTCAGTGGCGTAACGAGCCTTGATAATTTCGCTCAGGCGATTCAAGTGGTAAGACATTGCGATGAGATGAGGACGTAGAATCGACAACTCCAACGCGAAAAAGAGTATGCAGACTCACACAGACGCCGACAACTTGACATTCGAATGGTTTGTTGACGCGGGACGCGGTGCTTCTTGCCCGTACTCCATTGCGCGTCCGTTCGAACTGTCGTCTGCTCTTTCAAACTTGGCTGCTTTTTGTCGTCAGCTCGTTCAAACGACAGCGGCCCGTAAACCAAACGTTGACCCGGTAATTGCGATAAGAACTAAGTGCAGGCCTCAAAACACTTTTGAAGGTTGGTTGGGGTAAGTCGGCTAAGTGCAAACAGATACAAGAAGTTGTTGATCATTGTTACTAGTGGCCATCACCGACTTGTAATACCCGATTCTACTTGCGGTTTTCAGTATCGATGTCCACCATCTCAGCTACGGCCCACGCTTTTGCAGTCCGAGCGACGTCGCGACTGAAAATAGCGAGCAGAATCTCATCGTGGGAGTCAGGCTTTAGCGCCCATTCTGCGGCGTCCACGTGAAATGAATCGCCGCACGTCACATTATTCACGCAGAGTTTTGCCTCGATAGTTTTGCTGAAGCCGCTCAAGTTGTCAGACATTGTTAGGAGGACGTAGAATCAACAATTCCAACGCGAAAAAGAGCA